AGTTATATATGTGGCTAGTTGCACACTTACCTTGTACAAGTCATATGTAATGCATTGACCAAAAACACAAATAAAGGCGATAGCAACTAATAACATTGGCTTTAATAAAAAAAAAAAAAAAAGTTACAACCAAAAAACATCAATTTGCTAGTATTTTGGCATCGACTCATAAGAATCTGATATAACCTAACTAATCAGGTTAGTATGTACATGCTGGTGCAATTATTAATTAAATTTATTTATATAAATACTAACTAAATTAAGTAATAAATTAATTTCTAGTTGAAAGTTCGAGATCAAGAAGATGAAAAATTTCATCATATATACTAAGTTCTTTATTTCTATATAAATAATAACAATCTTTATAAAATTTTTTAAAACTATGATTAAATCCTTCAAATTCTTCTAGTGTAAAAAACATTTCAAGGAATTTATACATTTCAAAATTCTCAATATTAAATTGATATTTATTATCTATATCAAAAACATCACTCATGGCTTTACTAAATTTTTTATCTATTAATAGAAGATAGTTTATCTTTGCTAAATCTTCAAAATAGTAAATAACTTCTGCAAAGAAAATAATAAAATCTTTAATTTAATTATGTTTTTCATTAAATCATTGCAAAGGCTTAAAATTGGATTGCTTAAATTTTCATTTTGATGATACAACATATTTAATATTTTAAAATTTTTTATATTGAATAAGCATCATATAAAACTTTCATTTATATTCGAGAAATAAATACTTTTGTTTGCAAATTTAGTTAAAATAATTTTTTAATTACAAATTTTGCAATTGTCTAGCCTTATTCATTTATTTGCATACCATCTTTATCACAATCACCTACAATTATAATTGTATACTAATATGATCATGATCATTATTGCATATAATCATAACCATGATTATGATTATATACAATCATAACTATAATTGTAATTATATACAGTTATGACTACAATTATGATTACATACAATCGTGATCACAATCATGATTGCATACAAATATGATTGTAATCATGTTTGTAAATAATAAACCATCAATTTATAAGCAAGTTAAAAATATATAAAGCATGTTAAAAAATCTAATTTTACAATTAAAAAAAAACAAAATAAAAAAAAAACAAATAAATAAATAAAATAAAATAAACCAAAATGGCAAATAACCAAAAATCCTGTCAATAAATTAAAAAACACAAAAGTTATACATGAAAATGTCATAAAATTAGCTCTTAAAGTACTTAATAATCCCAACCCACCTAGTATACATGCAGCTGCATCAAAAATTCAGTCTTGTAGAAGCAACTTTAAGACATGCATTTAAAAAAATAGTATACTTGACAATTCTGGTCTTGCAACAGTTTTGAGTCACTATAAAAAAAAACAATTGAAAAGTTATTATATAAATATGCAAAAACTAGAATTTGATCTTAAATGATCTGGAATAAATTATTGCATAATGAATATTGTAAATAGCAATGACCATAATTATTCTTTTAATAAAAGTGGACTTGGTAAAGCTTGGTGAAAATGTTTTCTGAAAGACTATTCTAACCTATCTTTTCGAGTACCTCAAGCCTTGTCAGAAATACATGCTCAAAAATCTAATTCAATTATTATTAAGAATTATTTTAATAAATTAAACAAAATAATTCAAGACAATTTACTTACTCTGAATTGTATCTGGAATATGAATGAAACTGGCTTTGTTATAGCTTCTGGTGTTTAAAAGGTTATTGCTATCAAAGGCTCCTGTCAAACTCATAAGGTTGCTCATAGTAACTTGCATAATCACATTTCTGTTGCACTAATGATTTCAGCTTCTGATGATTATATTTCTTCATTAATTATCTACAAAGGCATTTGTGCAATTTCTGGTTTATCAAATGATGCTTTATTTATTACGGTTATAGGTTTTACTGATTCAGAATATATGCATAAAGAACTTTTTCAAATATATATTAAACATTTTATAAGTTCTATTTCTTTTTATTGTTCTGTTTTTTTAATACTCAATAGTCACAGCAATCATATAAATTATATGAGTGTTAATTTTTGTCATAAAAATAGAATTTTATTATATGCACTTTCACCTCATACAACACATATTCTCCAACTATCTAAACTTCCTTTTGCTAAACTTAAAACTAAATATAATAAAAATTGTGATTAGCTTCATCATATTACTGGCAACTTGGTAACTAAGTATATATTTACTAAAATGCTTGGTCTCACATTTATTAAGACTTATACTCTACAATGATAGCTAATGCTTTTAAAACTACAAGAATTTGGTCCTTTAACCCTAATGCTATTAGCCCCCATCATCTCAATACCTTATTATCTACTGAGCAAATTGATATCTTACTTTCATTCTTTTAACAAAATAATTATTCTTCTATACTATCTTATTCAATACTATCATCTTCCTTACTGTCTTTTTCAACACTATTTTCTTCTTTTTCAATGTCTTCTTTAAGTTATTTTACAGCTACTAGTAATGCAAAGGTTGAATTATTAGAAGCAAAAATTCATACTCTAAGAAAAAAAAATATGCTGCTTAAAAGAGAACTCTAAATGTTTAAAAATTCTGGTACTTGTGCATTAAAATTAGCCTTTAAGTATCCTACTTCTCAAGTTCCAACATAGGCAAATAAATCAGAGTCTAATCAGTTAAAAAAAAGAAAAAACTTTCTTTTTGCCTGACTTCTTACTAATGAAGAATCTCTACAAATGTTAAGAGAAAAAAAAGAATCAGCAAAGAATAAAGCAGAAAGTATAAAGCAAAGAAAAGAAAAAGCAGCCCAGAAAAGAGCTAACCAGAAAGCTGAAAAAAAGAAAAAAATAAGAAAAAAATAAGCAAAAAAAAGAGGAACAGTTATGTAAAAAAAGAAAAAATAATCATGCATAGTTATACTTATCTGTATTATTATTATTATTGTTATGCTGTATTATTATTAGAGCTGTGACAGATATTACATAATATTTATATACTATAAGGGTACCCCCCCTCCCTCCCATGTAAGATCAATTATGATTGGCTAATTTTATATTATAAAAAAAATACTAGTTTATAGTTTTTAAGTAATTATAAACTAATAATATTTGAACATTAAAGTAATATAATCTAATTATAAAATTTAATTTATTTTGTCAGAAATTATTAATTTACTTTTGTACTTTAACAATGTGACTTAAAGCATTACATGTCTTGCCAAAAAACTCAAAAACCTCAATCTAATTTTCTTTAATAATACTTATGTTATTTTAAAAACTTCAAGATTCTAAATTAAGACTACTGCTATAAACCTCCACTCAAATATTCGAATAACTGAAGATTTAGCCTTATCAAGTATCTAATCAAGGTGTATGTATTTAACCTTTGGGTAATTCTTAATATGAAATTCCTTTCTACACTACAATTAGTATTAGATAAAGAATTGTTAAACAATGTAACTATAGCCTCTTAATATAGTAATTAATGTATGGCAAGAAAAAAGAATCTAATCCAAATTTGTAACAAGGTCGATAATCAAAGAAGTTACTTACAGGGAGAAAGCACATGGCATACCATGTTCAGACTTGTAGAGTTTCAGGACTGAAAACAAATAAACTTGGCAATAACACTTCAATAACTAGGGTCTGCGCATTTTTACAATTTGCACATCGGTTTAATTACACCCAATATAAGATACAAGGGCAAGTTTTACTCCTGATTACTGTTGTATATAAATCACCTTTGAAAGTCCATGGACGTTATCTTAAAACAAGGCATATCATTTCTATGGATTCAAAATTCAAAATAATGCCCATGGTTGTTATTTCATAACTTTATAGATAATATAATGAATTGTTGTAAAATAGATCATGTAGTTTAAGTTAGTAATGAAATAAATAAAAAAGCTATGAAGTCATATGCATGTAATAAAAAAAACTCATGAGTGTATGGCACAAACTCTATTGCAAAGCTTATCTCAACTGACTTATTGAATTGCTATAAAAGAGTTATTACATATTATCAGCCAACATTTAAAATTAAATAATAAATTTGACCAATATTCCATAACTCATACCTCTATTTTGTCACATGAATATCTAACATAATGAGTCGGCAAACCTTTCTTTCTAGTCCAAAGTTCAATAAGACTTATATATACAAATCTTCTAATACCAAATATCAGCAGTTCACTAATGTATTTGCGTACTGTTTAATGGTAGAAAATGAAAATCCAATTCCAGATAAATTAAATATATGTGATGCTGCTACAAAAAAATGAAACAATGTTAAAAAATTTGAAGAAACTAGAATTGACAATATTATAAAAGAGTACTTAGCTACACTCATTAAATTAAACAGATTCATCAGGTCTACTATTTCATCTCAAAAAACAAAAAATCCAGAAATTACAGCTGGTAGTTCTTCCCGTACTGCAATACTAAAAACAATTCCTATAGAAGAAGAAATTCGGAATAATGCAACAGCTCAAAAACATATAGCTAGTTCTAAAGAAATTGCTGAAAAAAAAATTAAAGAGTTGGAACAAATATATAACTTTACTTCTGATCTACAGCTTTTGCATGATTTATATAATAGAATCAAAAGTCTAAGAACTGATATTCAATCACATGAAAAAAAAATGCAAAAATTAAAAAGAAATGCTGAATATCAGTCCAAATGTCATTCTAAAAAAACTAAAGCTATAGTAGAGCGACAAGAGGTAGTTAGATATGATAAAAGTGGTAGACCATCATTCTTACTTCAATATCCGGATTTGTTATAACATATACATAATTCAGTTGAGTATAGATCAGCAGATGCACGTAGACGTAAAAAAGCCATTAAAGTAAGGATTGTAAGTCATCTATGAGAAAACCTTGAAAAAACTATGGTATCTATATAACTAAAACAACTTTAAACAACTATCTTTTGCCTCGTCACTCTAATTCAGTTGCAGCAAAGGCTCACCATCACCCCGCCTGGATAGCTGTAGCTGGAGTTTTACATAACGAAACAAAGTATCATCCTGATGGTCACTATTGTCTTGCTTCTGTAAAAGGAGCAAGACAATTTGCACAAACCTTTGCTGAATTTTCTGTTATCATCTCACAAGATGATAAAGCGAAAATAAGTTTAGGTATAGCTGCAGTTGGCAGAACATTTCATACCTTGCAATCATCCTTTCAACCAGTCCAAATAC